CTGATTGGTGCTTGTTGGTTATTGGCTTGGCACACTAAAAACACTAGAAGCAACAACAGTATTTTCATTACCAAGAGATATAGGAGTGCTGCCTGAACTTGGAGATACATTTGTGTAACCAGCAACTCCAAAAGAAGGGCCAAACTGAGATGGTTGCTTGGAGTCAGGACCAAGAGCAAATTGATAAGTATTGGAATTATGAAACTATTGAGAGTATGAACCAGGAGAACCAATGAATTGTGAGGAACCATACTACAAAGCTCCATTATAAGCATCATTAAACCTATGATAACACTGCACAGCTGAGTGTCTTGTCTTGTTACACACTTGACAGATAAGTTTGTTCTTGTTAGAATTGCGATCTCTGCCTCTTCCATATGACACATAACCAGGAGGACGTCTAGGACTAAACATCTGATTACCAAACTGTTGAAGAGCTTGGTTTTGTGAACCAATTGAATAGGTGTCAAACGGTGCTGTATAGGATTGATGGTGGTGTGGATTACCAAGGGAATTAAGAGAAGGAACATTATTGTTGAACACAAGTGAGGTTAGGGACCTGTCAACTGTTTGGTTTTGTGGGAAGTTTGAATTGTTTCTTGTACTTCCAAACTCATTTGTGACAGTTAGATGAGCAGAGCTGTTATATAGGTCAATGGAGTTGAACTTCTCCAATCTGATCTCATACTTCTAAAGCAGAAACTGTGCTTCTTGAAGTGTGACAGAATCAATTTTTGACTCTAGCCTAGAAGTAAGGGTTACTACTACAGGGTCATATTCTGGTTCTAAACCATCAAGGACTTATTATAGTAAATCCTCATCCGAGATGACTAAGCCATTAGCTGATAGACTCTCACTTATCTCCTTCATTTTCTTAATGTAATCTCCAATGCTTAGATTACATTTTTGTGTTGTTTGCAACAAATTCTTAAGATGTAGAGCATGAGCTTTGGAATCATTGATAAATTCATTCTCTAAAACCCTCCAAATCTCAGTTGAGTGTCTATATTTTTACACATTGCCAAACATACTTTTTGATATAGAAGCCAGTAGCCAGCTAACTAAAAATTTATCTGTATGTTTCCACATAACATAGTCTGGATTGATTTTATCAGATCTAGCCCTAACATCTTCTTTGAGTTCACTTAGGTCATCATGAACTGATGATTTTGCAAGAATTAAAGGTGGAGGGCAAGGAATTTTACCGAGTAAATGATCTTCAAGCTCATGGGAGCCGACAGCAAACAAGACTTGTGAGCTCCAAAATTGATAGTTGTCGGGCGTGAGTTTAGGATTAATTACTTGTAAACTGGACGCAAGCGCAGAGGTTGAACGATTGAGTGATTCTCAAAGCATTTCCTCAATGCGATTAGGCAAGATTGAGGAGGAGGGACTAGGTGTTTTGGCCATATGACATTAGTCAAGGCTCTAATACCATGTAAAGATTAGAGAGAAAAGTCAAAAATGCTGAGAATTGATTCTTGCATATTCATTAATTGATAAGCGTTTACAAAGCTCATTTATACAGTGGAGCTACAAGAGAGTAAAGTAAGAGAGTGAACTGAATTGAGTAAGTAGCTCAAGTAGCTTAACCAGGCAGTTGTATTGAAACAACATCATTTCAGTAATATTAAAAAGAAGCCCACACCTTTTGATGGTTAGATAGATTAGTACTTTTAACTAGCTTATTCTTACAAAACACCTATTAATATAAATAGAGCTTCAGATGTTTAAATTTTCTACGTAACATTATGATTAAGATAACATATTATATCTTGAGATAATATGAGAGTTTGAGGTTGATGGTATTACCTACTCTATATGAGTTATCTTTGAGATTGGTCCCAACCCCCACATTATATATATGCATAAAAAAGCTAGAGGTTTCATCACTGTAAATATGCAAACGTGAGAGAGGGTTGAAGATAGGCCTTGTGAGTATCAGCATCAAACACCAGGATCACTTATCAATTCTATTTTATGCATTAAAAAAAATAAAAAAAAATTGCTTGGCCTGGGTTAGCTAGCCGTGACCCTACCTAGCAGTCAATTTGGACTTTAATAAACTTGATGAGTGTTGAAAATCAATTATATTATATGTGAAGAAAAAATAAAAAGTAAATCTTTGTCGAAGTATACTTGTGTAAAATAATTAAAAATGCTAGTGATAAATAATTATATGCCGAAATGTTTGCGTAAACTGAAATCAAAAGAATCATTTACTTATGGTCATTGGGCCGGATTTTAAATCTCGAAATATATGAAAGATAACTCTTGAACAATATATATTATACTTAAAACTTAAAAGTGAAATCAACTGAGAGATTAATTTGACATTGTTGGGCCCAAAAATAAGTGCTCCAGCCCAATCCATATAGAGTAAAAGTCAGCCCAGATGGCAAGGCTCTAGCCCAATTCAATGGAATGGTCTAAAGGGCCGAAAATCCAGTAAAGGCAAGTTGTTGCCCACCTCTCTCATAATAGAGAAGTGAAATAAGGAAGAGTAATGCTTTAGTTATCGAAAGGTACACCAAATTTATGCACCGAATAACATGATAAAATCTTGACCGTTGATTTATTATAAGTTAATATTAATCAATGGTCAGGATTTTGTCACGTCATTCAATGCACGAATTCGATATATAATTTTCGGTAACTCTATCATTTTCCAAAGAAAAAATGAGATATCGTATATAACTGCCCCATGACCCACAAATAATGTACCATGACCCCTAGGCGTAGGGTATTACAATTTTAAAGTGGCAATAAGAATCATCTTATTTTTATACCAATTATGATTAAAGTGGCAATAAGAATCATCTTATTTTAGGGTATTACAATTTTTACTCAAACCGGCAGAAAATATGAGAAGGTTAATTTATGCATATTTGTACCGATCATTTAATATTCTGAAGCTGATTTTATTACACTATTATACAACTTACTTTCAAACCCACTACTTCTAGATTGTTGTTGAATAATTGGGTTCACACGTGTATCTACTATGAAAATTTAATGTATATATTCATGTCTCATCGATTTTCATATTACTTTGCACCCACATAGAGTAACTTTATGGATCGTCAAAGTAATTTAGCTAAATTAAGGATAGTGTAGGTAAAACCGTAAAACTATTGGACCAATATTTACTGCACAAAAATAGAATTTTCAATGTTTTTAAATTTTGATGTTAAAAATTATAGATGTGGCATTACATAGTAGTATGAAAATAATTCGATCCTAAAAATTTGGTTATCCTATATATATATATATTACTTCTCATAAAAGAATTATCTCTAGATTCAATATGACCATATCATTCTTGACGCATCCATTGGCTAAGACCAAATCTTGAGCATGATTAAACATTAGAAGCATTAACGAATGTTCCCGATTAATGAATTACTTTATCAGCATAGTTCTCTATTATAATTGGCCCCTAAATTAACAGAATTTTTTTTTTTTCTAACAATATTTAATTAATTTAACTAACTACATAGAATGAGCCGACATACTTCAACTCATTTGGACCGCAAAAAGAATAATCAACCAGACGTGGTGGTTATAGATATCTTTCTAGACTTTGAACTACAAAGATGTGGTGGTGGTGGAACCCAATTTGGTACTAAATTTTATTTTGTTGGTCATGTTTTGACTCGAGACATAACTTTTCACGACCACTTTACATTTGACTGGTAGCTCTCCAAAAATCTCCCAGAGTATTTTAGTAGTTATTGTGCAAGAGTTTACAGCAAGCTCGGAGAAAGTGAAGCTCAAGGGATCGAGCTAAGCACAACAGGGTGAACTAAATGGACAACTGTCTCATAGATCACAGATAAGCCTTATCCCCTATAGCCAAGGAGATAAATTTGATATCAGATCATATTATTCCAGATTTAATGTGATTGGGCTAATCGTGAGATTAACTTCCTATAATTAAGCCACAATCTCTATAATCCCTCAAAGAACCCTTATCAAATTGTTGTATAAATACCCTTAGAAAACTCATTGCAAGGGGTTAGCAATTCTAAAAAGACTAGCCTTATTTTTATACTCAAAGCATCAATAAGATAACAATGTACGTAGGTTTAAGTTTGAACTTGCTAAACCACTTTAAAATTGTTTGTGTACTTTCTTTTTTTTTCTTTGCTAATTTTATTTAATCAGGCGCACATGCAATCTGATTCCACCAAGGTCAATCGGGTTTCGCTAATTGTTGCGTAAAATCGTAACGATAGTAGTGTTTATATTTTGATTCTCCAACTTGAAGTATATAAATAGAACTGATCATATAAACTTGAAGAAGAAAACTTTAAATAATATTTTGCATTCAATCTATTTTAGATTTAAAACACTAAATGGAAAAAGGGAAGAAATTGCACTAACTTTTGCCTTTAGAATGAGCTAGCCGAAGTTCACTTGAAGGGGCTGAACTACCTTTGGATGGCTTAATGGTTCGACAGGGACTCTTAGATGTTTTACTCAAGAGGTCCTGAGTTTGAGTCAATAATTTGTTGTTAATAGGGATATTTACTAAAGCTTTTACTTAACCAGTAATTCCAAGATCCCGAGAAATTAGTTAAGATACGCGTAAGCTAGTCTAAACACCCCTAATCATTAAAAAAAAAAAAAAAAAAAAAAAATTGTTGCGGCTGAACATCAATTGAAGTTCTATTTTGCCTTGGTGATAAAAATGAAGTTGGCAGGGATAAATAGTAAACTTGAGTGATGTCTGAGGATACAGCAGGGTGTATATGTAGGTGAATATGATAGAGGAAAATTTTCATGGGTTTTACTTGAGGTATTAATTGGTTTGTATAATTTGTATTTTTTGCTCACATTACAAGAATTAATTTTTCAAATTTTATCGAAATTTTCTCTAACTTTTGCTCTATTCTCCTTTTATCCAAACAACCAAATACCATTAATTTAAACTTCATTAAAATTTCTAGCACGAATATGTATTGTTCTTTTGACCTAGATAAAATGCAATCATCAACATGATGAAACTGAAACTTATTATATAAAATAAAAATTATCCTAGTATAGGTTGGATGCAATTTTTGCTCTGAAAATTACAAGCATGATCAAAATCATTTCATTTCTAGCTCACAGTTTCTTTGGAATGATCAAGAAAAAAAAAAAGAAGGGGTTTATTAGAGTCTCTGACCCAGAGATTACTTAATCTCCTCTTTCTAAAATTCAACGAGTGGAATTCTGATTAGATTCTTCAGTTGGTTTTAGAAGCCATCGATTTATACGATTGGATGCTTTGTTTACCTATAAAGGACAAAACACATTTATTTGTATTAGTACATTTCTCATTGTATTTGAATTAAACAAAATCTATTATACACAAAATTCATCTGAAATATTAAAAAATTTAGTGCAAAACACATATTTCGCTCTTGCTACTTTTACAAAATTGTTTCTTTCTAGCTCTTACATATAATCATTATTCCAAACAATATTTTCAAACTTTTGAAAAATAAAATTCTATTTTTCCAAAAGTAAAATTCCAAATATTGTAACTAATACAAACTAGCTATGTTTTATTTTTCTTTTGGGTTTATTTTATTCACCCCTTGAGATAGCTAAAATTATTAAATGCTCTCTTATATTACCAAAAACTCCTTAAAATATCATAAAAACCCCCTAAATATGTCCCAAAAAAAAAAAAAAAAAAACCCTCTAAACAAGGAGTTATTTGATAGTTTCTAATAATTACTAGGACATTTTTTATTGAGTAAATGACTTTTTCCCACCCAAATAATAGTTTAATGACACTTTCTCATTCACGGACTTTTAAAATACTACTTTATTACTCAAATTTATATTATAACGGTGAATAGAGAACAAACTTGGTTCAGACTATTAAGGCTTTTGAAGAGAGGAGATCGATGAGTCTTTTAATGGTGGAAGATTGGATTTTGGTGGTTAGGATTGATCGAAATTAAACTCTAATCGCTCTATTGTCGGAAATTTGCAGGGTCGGGGGGAGTATGATTTGAGGAGTTTTTATGAGTGATGATGGGAAAAGAGAATGGTGGTAGTATAGGGTCCCAACGATGCCTGAATCAGAAATGAGATATAAATTTGTATAATAAAATGATATTTTAAAAGTTTGTGGGTAAGAAATTGTCATTAAGTATTATTTGGATAGGAAAAAGTCGTTAACTCTTTTTAATTCAAGTATTTCTCAGTGGACATATGAAATGAATACTTTCCTTCCTAATCCTACCCATTTTCTTTTCAGAAAAAAATGAAACAAAGTTTTCTACAAATTTTGGTATCATGAGCCAGAACATATATAGGAGCAAAATCAAAGGCAGGCAAAAATGGTATTCTCTAATTATCATGGTCTCATTAGCAAGCATGCAATATACATTTACCTGGTCATCCCAATCTGTCCTCCAAACTACGTAGGAAAGAATAACTGTTTGCAATCCCACGCCGGCCAATAATCCAACCCACAGACCCTGTCAGTAAAATATAATAAATTAAAGTTTATACAAACCAATTGGTTCAATCAATATATCAACACTAAAAACTATATAATAAAATTGGTACCTTAATTCCGAGATTGGCCACATATCCAAGCACACATCCTACTGGAATTCCAACCACATAATAACTTCCCAAGTTAATATATGCAACCACACTTTGAAAGCCAGCACCTATAGCTACACCTGAATACAATATAATATATGACATCAAGCCTTAAATTTATTTCCAAAATTTTAATTATTTTGGCGATCAAAATACTTGCCTGTAAGAACTGGCTGAATACTGTTAAGCAAAAGTGAGAAAGCAAGAAAAACAGATAGATCCGATACCGCTTCTGCAACTTCCTCGCTACTAGTAAACAAGTATGAAAGTTGACGACCGAAGGCCAAGCACAGAACAAAAAATATCACTCCAAAAAATGTTGAGGTGAACATTATAACTTTAATCGAAAATTTTGCTGCTTTAGAGTTTCCACTTCCCAGCTCATTTGATACCCTCACACTATAGAAAACAGTTGCGGAACCAGAAAATTATTTTTGAGAAGACTAATAATTGAAGTGAAATGGATATAACACTTAGAATGAAATGGTATCTATTAAACCAATTGGACGTACCATGAAGCACCAAGGAAGCCGAGGCAGATCATAAATTGAAGTGCACTCACATTGAGGCTGCAAAACAGAGAAAATAACTTTAAAATAGTAAATATTTCACATTATTAGCAAACAACATAAAAATGAGTTAAATATTATCATTCTTACCAAATAGAGAAAGCAGATATAGCGACAGTAGCATTTTTTAAGTAACCAGCCAATAAGACGAGGACTGAATTGTACCAAAGCTCCAAGCTGTCGGCACAAAATGGCCACAGTTAGATAGCTCCTGATAATTCTCTCCACAGAAAGACTTTATTCCCCTAAGGTCCAGTACTTTCAAATACCAGGATTTATCCCCCTTCAATTTTACAAACGTTTACATAATTGACTAAGTGAGAGGATTTTCCATAATATCCTTCAAAAAAAAAAAAAACTAGCTTACCAGAGCATCACACCAGATGATATGGAGAGCTTTATAACAGGAAATATATCAGCGAAGGCAGCCATAGTGAATCCTTTCCAAGAATTTGGACACCAACCACCCCAAATATACGCAAACTCTCCAATAACCACAAACCAAGCTGATATATTGAGTGAGCCCATTGCACCAGCAACCCCTAACCCAAGTTTGCTCACAAAAGTCCACGATAAAAGCAGATGAAGTAGAAATGAAATAGTCGAAAGCCACCCAATTACCATGTTCTTGAGTTGTGCTTGTAAAAACATTTGGATGGTCAAACCAAATACAAAGTTATAGACAAAAGGAATCAACCATAAAGATATGACACCGCTGGCTTCTGCTATTTCTTCATTCTGGCCAAGAATTTTTAAAATTGGCGTCGTGAAAATGAAGATTGGTAGCAATATTGTAGCAGTTACACCATCAACTATCCATGATCTTTGCAAGTAAATTCCCATCATGTGGTAATGCCCTGCTCCAAATGCTTGTCCACATAATGTTTCTGTCGCACTTGACATTCCCAGCTTCCAAAATTAAAGAGAAATTAATTTAAAGGTTGTTTCTTTCAATGTAATTTTATTTGTTAAATTATAGAAGGAGCATAGTGATTACCAGTATTCCATTGACAAAACGCAGAAGAATGCTTTGAACAAGTGCATATGCAGCAAGATCTATTTCATCAACATGTCCAAGAAAACTTTGTGTCACCACAATAAGTCCAAAACTTGTCACTCTTGAAAGTATTGAAGGAAATGCAATCCGCCATAGGAGCTTCGATTCCCTCCAAATCCTGCTTTTTAGATCACTGCTACTATTTTCTACCGATACCAGAAGCCTCTCTTCCACTCCATTATCCATGATTAATCTAAAACATAAAAAATTATAAGCCTAAAATACTCATGTATATTGTATAGTTAACATTGGAAACCATGTATGATGATAAAAATAAATCTTTTACTGTCACATGAAAGTATAGGACATACTAATAATGTCTACAATTTAAGAAACAACTGCTAAAAAGAAAGAAAAAAAATGGACTATTAAAGATAAATTAGTGCTGCGCAGAATTAGACTCTTAAGTAACTTCGGTATTATGGAATATTTTAGTAACGTCTCTGTCAGCAATATTATAAATTTATAGTCCCTCGTATTTGCTAATGTAGCAGGGACTAAAATGTTACTAAAAAATCTGCAAGACTACAATTAATTTAGCCAAACCTTATGGACGAACCGTGAATTTCCCCTGTATTTTTAATTTAATATTTAAGCTTAATTTTTAAAAGTCGAACTTCTATAGTAATATCTTTTCTTTCCTACAAATTAAATTTCTACTTTTAATGTATTAATTACGGGACATTATCAATAACTTTTTAGTTTGGGGGCCAAAATAACTTCCATGCATGAGGCGGCTGAAGAAACAATTACGAAGCTATTTTAATGGCAGCCAAAGTGTTAATTTCAGAAGCTGAAGTCAGCCAAAAGTAAGAAAACTGAATTTACAAGGACTTCATTTATAATATTTTTTTTATTTTTTATTTTTTTTAAAAAAAAATGAAAAAGAAATTTGATGTGGCCTGGTGTGGCTAGCTCTGCCCCTACCTAACAGTCAATTTTAACATTGATAAAGTTCAACATATTCGTCGAAAAAGAATATATTGGAAGTTAAATAATAATAATAATAATTTAAAATATCAGATTATATGAAGGAGAAATCTTGAATAATACAATGAAATAACCAAAGAGATTAAACACAACATGAAATATGAGAAGGTTGTTTTATTAGACTATCATAATAACTTATTTTCATACACCCAACTAAGCAATTTCTAAACCCCCAAAGGTTTGGTTTAGTGGGAGGGAGCTCCTTCAACCTTGACAAAGTCTCCCTTGTGATGGAGCGTTTGTGGGCGGAATAAGGTTGAATAATTTGGTGGACAAGTGTATCTGCCGACTGCCGTTCCTAGAAAATTTAATGGGCACAGCCTGTTTCCCCTTTCAAACCTATTTTCAGACTATCCTTTGCGGCTACATACAACTTTAGAGACCATCAAAAGTATTTTTTGAAATGAGGATATTTCTAAAGAGGGTAGGTAGAACTAGTGGAAGATATAAAATGTCATATTTATCACACAAAAATAGATTTTACAATGTTTCTATGTCATTTTTGCAAGTTTGATGTTGCATATTATAGATGTGCATTTCATACTAATACTATAAAACAATTCGATCTTAAAAATATGGTTATTCTAATATATAGATATATATAGTGTTTCTCATAAAGAATTATCTCAAGGAATCAAGACCATCGTTCTTGAAGCACCCATTGATTAAATGCGAATCTCTAGCATTTACCAATGTTCTCGTAGCTACGCTACATTAATTGAACGTTTTGCTAACAATATTTGAACTCATTTGGACCGCAAATAAATAAATCTACTAGACGTGGCATTGGTAGATCCTCTAAACTTTGAAGTTTGAACTATAAAGATGTGGTGGAACCCAATTTGGTATTAATTTTTCATTATGTTTTGACAGGAGCAGACTTATGAAATAGTGCGCTTATTGGGAAATGATAAATAGAGGTGTGACCTAACTTTCAACCAACACTTAATATATATTTGACTGGTAGCTAGAGGGAAGTAAAGCTCAACTGATACTGTCTGCCTGAATTTTTAATTTAATAATGTGGTTTTCCAGCTTGAACTTTTATGTTCTCTCTTCTAGGTAGCTTTACTTTAATTTCAAAGAAATCTTTAGTTCAGTTAAAATAGATATCATTTATGCAGTACTGGATTGAAATCATATACATGGAAGAAGAAAACTTTCAGTAATATTATATTGGATTCAATCTACTTTATTCTATGCATAAAAGACTATATGAAAGAAAAAACAAAGTTCATATGAAAGAAAGGAAGAAGTTAACTCACTGTTGCCTTTCGAATGAGCTGAAGTTCAGTTGTTGATGAGGCTGAAGGTACGTATGAGACTTCTCCACTTGGTGAAAAAATGTAGTTCTCAGAGGTAAGTAATATCAGTCATGCATGAGGCGTATATATAGGTGAAAGAAGTACAAAGCATTCAAAACTAGGGGAAACACTAGTGTGTGACGTGTTGCTCCCTGCGCTAATATATAATTTCCACCTTGGCACATCTTGACTGTTCATTTTGCTTTAATCAAAAGACACAAACTTGTGTCAAAAGAGAAGGGTTAAGATTCAATGTAACTTGCACATTTAATGCACTTGGAAATTAACACAATTTATATTTAATCTCAACCATTCAAAGGATTTAATCTAACGGCTCAAAAATTGTGTGTATGTATGTGTAAAGAGGGTTCGACAACCTCTATTTTCTATATAAGTTTGTGTCCCTTAAATTAAAGCAAAATTAATGGTCGAGGTTAGGGGTTTCAGTTGAGCCGAGCGGCTTGCTTGCTAAGTCAAGCCGAGCTCGAGCTCCTTAATACTCTACTCGACCAACTCGCAAGCTTGAATCTCGGAATTATTTTATATGCTTGTTTTCCGTTGCTCTTCTTTGGCAATCGACATGTTCTTTTATAAAGCATTCAAATCTAATGGAAACACTAGTTTGTGACGTGTTGGTCCCTTCTATATGTGTGTGTGTGAATCCAGAGTCCCTTTTTTTTTTTTTTTTTTTTGATAAAAATTTTAACACAATCTTTTAGCGGTTAGATTAAAGCTTTTGAATATTGAGATTACATCTTAATAATATTACATCCAAAGTGCATTACTTATTTGTCTTTAAAATAATTTTTTGATATTTTACGAATTGAAATGATTGAAGATGACAGTATAGGAGAATTATATTTCTCTAAAACTAATATACAAATATATATATATAACTATAAAAAATAGTCAGCTTAGTAAATCATTTAACAATTTTTTCAATAGCTTGATGCCAACTCTAGAAATATCAAAGTTAAAAACATTCATCGATAGAAATTATGTAAATAATATCTATTTTGTTGATATTTGGGCAAGTACCGGGAAGATAATACTTTTGTTTTATAAAAAGACGTTGAAAGAATGACAATATGAGTAAGCATTACATGAATGTTAGTGTTAGTCAATTTGAAGATAGGGCGTAGGGTCTACGCCTCATCACCGCCACTGTCGATGGCCTTCTCGGTCATTTGTTCTAGGACTCATTTTGTGATGAAGCATAATTCTAGGCCGATTCTTTTATGAAATCAAGAAAAGAGATTGGTGATGGCTTGGGGTCTATAGCCCAATCCTTGAGGTGTGTGAGAAAATCGAGGGGACACTCAGGTGGTCGGGTTCCGGTTTTGAATGATATGGAGGTGGCTGGTGGGGATTCTCTTATGGAAGAGAAGAATGGTGGAAAAGGTAAGGAATGTGCCTGTGTGGAGGGTAATTCGCAAGAAATGATTCTTCTTGTTGATTTGATGGTGAATAGGAATGCTCATGTGGTGAGTTTGTCAAGTGATGATGGCTTGGGTAATCATAGCAATGTTGTAGAGATGATTCGAAACATTCTAGGATTGTTGTGGTTTTGTCGACTTCAAGTAGTGGGTCAAGGCTTGGAGGTTTAAAGAGCAAGTCGGCTCCAAACTCAGATGAAGATAGTGGTCGTGACCATTCGAGAAGTCCTCTAGTGAGGAAGTTAGGCTCCACCAAAGTTGTCTTTGCTCGGCTAGCAAATGGTGGGATTGAAATCATAAAGGGAAAGGATTTTCTTAGAGTTGCCAAGGAGAGGGGAGAGGTTTCATTTGGGAATGTTGGTTTTGGACTTAGGGATTTAAGTTGTATTGAGCCATGGGCTTGGTGAGGATGCAACCAATTTAAAAGCTAATGGGTTTATTTTAAGGGGTGGTGGGTTGGAGGGCTCCAAGTTGGTGGGCTTATCTAGTAATTGTAGTCGAGGTAATGGGTTGGGTGATTTAAGTTCTTCAAGGGTTGGTTTTGGAGGAGTCCATGATTTTGGCAATAAAGTTTCTGGAGCTAATAGCTCGATGTTTCTAAATGATCCCAAAGAGATTGCTACTTCACCAAAGCAATCTTCTGATGTTAGTATTATGGAAATAGAAAAACGAGTTTATGGGAATTTTGAGAATTGAAATCAGTCGGGGGCAAATATGGCTTGGGAGAGTATTCATTGATCAAATTGGATTTTTTTGAGCCAACTATTGAGCAAGATGTTGTCTCTACTACCTACCTTATGCTTTAAGTGGCTTTGGAAGTTAGGAAAAAATGGGAATCTTTCCTTGTAGGATCGTTCATAGTGAAAAAGCCTCATTTCCACGTTGTCCAATTTTTCGCAATAAAGATGTGGCAAAAGTATGGATTCAAGGAAGTGATGTCAAATGATAAAGGTTTTTCCTTCTTTAAAATTGAAGATGAAATGGGTATGATTTAGTATTTAGAGGATGGGTTATGGTTGTTCCAGAATAAACCTATCTTGCTCCAAAAGTGGCATCCCGATATGGAGCTAAATAAGGTGTCCCCAAGATTCATCCCGCCGTGTATGAAATTTTATGATATTCCCTTAGAAATGGGGAGTTTGCCTAGTCTTACCTATATTGCGAGTACGATGGGTAAACAATTGGCTTTAGACAAGATCACTGAATACACTTGTTGAGATAACTTGGGTTGTATTGGTTTTGCCAATATCTTAATTGAACTTGATGTAGCTAGGAAGTTGACAGAAGTGGTTAGGGTTCGTATGCCTACAGAGGATATCGATGAGCGTAAACTTATGATTGCTAGAGTGGATTATCATGGGAAACCTTCCTAGTATGGGATGTGTAGGGTGTTTAGCCATAAGGATGAAGGATGCCTGCAACAACTGAGGTCGATGGAACAAGATAAATTGGTGAAGCTAGGGAATATTTCCGAAGGAGTCAATGAAGGTTTCGAAAAAGTATCCAAAAAAGATAGAGGTAAGAAAGTCGTTGTGTCCCTTGTCTATTCCAAAGGTCATTTTGATCCTAGGAAAAAAGATGGAACCTTACAATGAGAATCCTCAGGCCTCAGTTTCACTACCTTTCCTTTTGAAATAGTGGTGAGTAATAGGAAAGATGGGTCTATAATGGAATCAAGGAATTAGAATGGGAAACTTGTTTCAATGTCTTGCTGCCGAGCCAGATAATGAGAATGGAGATGCCATCCAAGGTATGAATTGAGACATCCGACATCACTTGGGAAGGAGAGGGTTTGTTGGATAAATAGCAAGGAATCCAAATAACAGGGAAATCCCTCAAATGTCAAGACGTTTTTTCTGCTTGAGTAAGGTCTCTTAGGCCTGAAAACAAAACCGTGAAGGGCTGGGCTTCAGAGTCGGGCAACCCAAGCTGCCAAAGCGAACAATATCTTAACAGTGTTAGGCTGACAGTGGGCCAGAGTGTTACAATTGGTATTAGAATCAATCCCAATTAGAAGTGTGCGGATAGTCAAGAGGCCTTACTTAGCCCAAAAGAGATCACAACGAGGACACTAGATCTTAAAGGGAGAGAATGAGAAATCCTATATCGATTGGGAAGAAGAGGGCTGAGCTGGTCAAATACCAAGGAAATCCCCCAAATGTCAAAACACTTTTTAGGCTTGAGCAAGAGTTCTTGGGCTTGAAAACAAAACAATGAGGGGCTAGACTTTGAAGTCAAGCAACCCAGACTACCAAAGTAGACAATATCTTGTCAATGTTGGGCTGGTAGTGGGTCGGGGTGTTACATGAAAATTCATGTTGATCTTAGTATGAAGTAGATCATGAAATAGATAAAGATGGTTATGATTTTTAATCAGATTCCACTCATATGGCTCAAGTAATTTTTCCGAACGATGGTGTTGTCAAGCTTGCTAAAGTGAATGACCAATGAAGGGGTCTAGCTATCCTCCAACCACCCTCTAGTTCCCATGTTTAATTTAGCTTGTTGGACCATAATGGGCCTTAATCAACCCATCAAACAGAAGGAAGTTAAAGTGTTTATGAAAGAGAAAAGACTTTCCTTATGTTCTTTGTTGAAGACCTGAGTGACAGGTCCTAATGTTAACCGTGTTTTTGATAGTGTGTTTAGGGGTTGGAAATGGATCTCGAATGTTGCTATGGGGTCAAGAGGGTAGAGTTGTTATTGGGTAAGACCCGTTGATCTATTGTGCTACTCCTTTGGGGATGTCTGACCAAGTCATTCATTGCTTCGTTTAGGAGGTTAACAAAGGTATTAGTTTCAATGCTTCTTTTTTGTATGTTGAAAATGATGCTATAGGCAGGAGAGAGCTTTCGGATAACCTACGGCAACATAAACTTAGGGTTGGAAATTCTCCGTGGCTTGTGCTTGGGGACTTCAATGTTACCTTATTTTCGAGTGAGACGTTATGGGGCAACAATAATGTTTCGAATGACATGATCAATTTCAGAGTGTGTTAATGACCTTGAAGTTGGAGACATAAGTCATTCCGACATTTTGTACACTTGGAATGGTAAATGCATGGGGACAATAGTGTTCTAAAAAAGCTTGATCAGATATTGGGCAATGGCTCCTTTTCCATCAGCTTCCCTCGATCAAGTTATGTTTTCTAGCTCTTGGATATTAGTGATCACAGCCTATTGGTAACGTCTTTTCCTCATCTTTGTTTGGCTAAGCCCCGTCTTTTTAAAATTTTTAACTTTCTTACTCTTAAGGAGGAGTTCTCAATTATTGTTAAGAAATCTGGGAGAAAGAGGTGTGTAGGGTGCCCATGTTCTCTGTTGTTAGTAAACCGAAGTCTCTTAAGCCTTTTCTAAGAGACCTGAATTGAAAGTAAGGTAATTTTACTAGGAAAGTTAAGATTCTTAGAAAGGAGGTTGAGTTGATCCAAGGTGCTTCAGATCGGGATCCTTTCAATAAAGAGCTCTGGGACCAAGAAGTTGTTTTCCCAAGGGCATTCAGACTAGCCCTCCTTGATGAAGAAAGATTCCTAAAGCAAAAATCTACGACTCTTTAGCTTAGTGTGGGAGACCAAAATTATACTTCTATAAGTCTTTTCATTCTTCTCAAAATATCAGGTTGATTGACAGTATTATGACATATTCGAGGGAGTTAATGGAGAAAGGGGATATAGAATTGGCTTTTGTGAATTACCCCAAGA